TTACATCCCCAGATACATCTGTGTGGGAAAATACAAAAGAATAAAAGCTTTTTCGAGAAAGCACAGACGCCACAGACCAATAGAAATAAATGTTTTTTGACTTTTCTTTTAATATTTTCTAAAAGGTTATCTGTCATCAGCTGCTGTGTCCCTTGTTGAGCCCATGACAGTCTGCTCAGATATTGATGCATTTATGTATTTTCCTGGCACATGAGGAGCAGGTTTAGTACATCTTTGTATTTAAAGGAACTTGTTGACCTTTACCAGTTTCAACATCTGTAATGTAAGACAGAGTGCATTTGAGCTGTGTATGGACTTAACTATGCAGGTCTGCAGAGGAAGAAATTAGAATTATTTTTAGAAGATATCTGCTGAAACTGCTTACAATAAACAGAAATGTGTAACAATAGATTCTTGCTGGCTCGGCCTCAAGAATGATTCATCACAACAAAGAATGACCTACTTTCACATACATTTCTGTCAATTTGTAGGAAGAAGCAGGACAACTGCTCAGTGTATTTACTGCTGAGTAACATGCTAATATCTCAACACAGAGATAAATATTATCTTTGAAGTTTTTGTACACTGGCCAGTAAGTACAGTCTCAGCTGTTGGGCTGTTTTATGTATCTGGACAAGTTCAATATACTACAGTGAGCTGATGCAATTAGATGAAGTGTAGCGTAACCTCAAGGCAACCCCTCTGGTCTGATGGTGTGAATATAGTCTCCCTGCTAAGAACAAAATTCAGCTCAAAAGTGCTTACTGCACAGGAGTTTTCTGTCCCTGCTCACAGGCTAAAACCCTGTTGAAACCAATTTTTACAGAGAGCATCTCTCAATCATTACTTTACAAACAGCCCAATTAAATAAGTGTTTGAAATGATTGTGGATGCACTTATAATGCACACACATTACTAACATGCTATTCCATCATACAGTTCTTATATATTCAATATGTCAATTTTAATTCAATGTCTTGTTTCCCATGGTCGAAAATGTCATTTCTTGTAGGAGCATCCAAACATCAGCTCTAAAAGGGAGAAACAGAAGTTGCATTAAATTCAAGAGTGGTTGCCTTTGAACCTCCAGGCTTACTGGTCTATATACAGCATATGAAATTGGACACATCACTGTCTAGACAATGACATAAACATGATTTGTCTAGATAGAAACTATCAGAACCTGTTTGTCTGGGATGAAAAGAAAACTACAGAAGCTGTTTTACATCAGATCACGAGAACCACTTTCAACAACATACTGCATGTTGCGAGTTGTTTTTATCTAACATTATTGGATCCTGAGCAGCTCAGCTGGTGTGGAGCAGTGCTAAGGGCACCTGATTTACTACTAAGCCAGGAGATTGTAATCAGTACTTTACATCAATATATCATAAATAGGGTGAAAAGAGCTGAACTGATGCTAAAAATTGTGTTGAGGAATTATGTAATAAGATTTTAAAAAGGTTGCTCTTGTGCAAAACTCTTGAATCATTCCTCATTTCTTACTGTATTTCCCAGAGGAGAAGACCTTGTACTCCAGATATCAAGATATACTGTATTTAAGACAAAGACAGAGTGTCTACAATTCTAATGATCCTGAATTCTCTTAGGCAAGCTGCCTTGAAGTTGTCCTCAGGAATTGCCTGCCTTTTGTTCTCTTTCAACATGAACCCACACTGCTTCAACAATTCTGAGATCCGGGCTCTAGGGAGACTAATCCACGAGTGATAACGTCCATTGTATGTGTTATCTATCAAAGTATTGCATTGGCAGCATGTTTTGAATCATTGTTATGCTGAAAAAGGTTTCAAGCATAAACGTTGTGTAGATGGTGATATTCATGAAAACTTTGCTTGTAATTTTATTTATATTTGCATGGTAAATGGTCTGTATTTGTATAGCGCTTTTACCTGTCCCCCCTAGGGACCCCAAAGCGCTTTACACACCCAGTCATCCACCCATTCACACACTGGTGGAGGCAAGCTACAGTTGTAGCCACAGCTGCCCTGGGGCAGACTGACAGAAGCGAGGCTGCCATATCCGCCATCGCCCTTCTGGCCAACACCAGTAGGCGGTAGGTGAAGTGTCTTGCCCAAGGACACAACGACCGAGACTGTTCCGAGCCGGGGCTCGAACCGGCAACCTTCCGATTACAAGGCGAACTCCATACTCTTGAGCCACGATCGCCCAGATGTTCGAAATAGACAGATAAATGGAAAAATGGTAAATGGCCTGTATTTATATAGTGCTTTACTAGTCCCTAAGGACCCCAAAGCACTTTACACATCCAGTCATCCACCCATTCACACACATGGTGATGGCAAGCTACATTGTAGCCACAGCCACCCTGGGGCGCACTGACAGAGGCGAGGCTGCCGGACACTGGCGCCACCGGGCCCTCTGACCAGAAAAGCTATAGAAAATAGAAAAGTAGAAATAAATAGAAAAGTTTATCTAAAAATTAGGTCACTGCCAATCAAATTGCTTGGTGGATCAAAATCTGACCTGCATTTATCATTCCATTAATTTTGACAGGATCCCCAACACCATTTACTGAAATGCACTACCAAACCATGACAGAACCTTCACCATCTTCTATAGATAGCTGCAGACACTCAGTGATGTACCTCTCTCCTAACCTCGTACATATTGATAATGATTTAGTTTAAAAATATTACATTTGGATGCATCCCTCCATAACACTTTTAGACATTGATTTCCAGTCCAGTTCTTGCGTGACTTGACATGCGTCAGCCTTTTCTCCCTGTTTCTCCTCCTTAAGAAAGCCTTCTTGATAGCCACTCTTCCACTAAGACCATTTCTGATTAGGCTTCGGTGAAAAAATAGATGGATCAACTCAAGGGCCAGATGCGTTTCTCAGGTCCTGTGTCACATCTTTGTTGGATTTTTTCCCCCAATTTGTTAAGGACACAAGTTTCAGATACAGTGCAACTGTTGTAGATCAATTTTCTTTAGGCTGACCACTTCTTTTGTCATCTATTTGTCCAATTTCCCCCTTTTTTTTAAGGACACACTGCAAACCATGCCAAGTTTTCAGCTAATGACTCCTTTTCAGTGCTTGAATGATTTTAATATGACTAAAAAAAAGCAGACAATGTCAAAAAAAAGCTAAAAAAAACCCCCAAAAACCTCACACTTTGATAGACCTCAAGAACACCTGGAGAACTATTGCTCAAAACCACTTTAACGAATTACAAGAAAATCTATTTCCTTGAAAGTAAAACAATTTTAAAAAAGTAAAGGGGGGTGACTTGAAACTTTTGCACAGTACTATATTTGCGAAAGTAAAAATTACATTTTACTGAATACTGTACACAGTCCTGCTTTGGTAATAATGCCGCAGGCATGGTGCTTGTTGCCTAAAAACCACTGACTCCTGCTGAAGTATTACAAGGAACTAGCTTTATGTCCATCAGTGGCGTAATTGTGCTCAGTTATGATTTCAATTCATCAACTATGGCATTGTAATAGTGGTAGCAGATTTCAGGAGTTTACACTGCTTTACTCTAACAAGCAACATTTTGGCCCAGATAACTCAGCACAGAAGTCAGTAGTGATTACTGCCACCACTTAAGTAAAAGCTTTTTAGGCCAATAAAAAAAAAAAAGTGTCCCCATTTATTGCCACACTTAGGGTCTATGTGGCAACCTAGTAGTGCTCTAGTGCTATTTTTTATAAGTAGGTTGTTTCAAGCTTGTAAACATGGATTTAACAATGCATCTAAAACTGACTTTGGGCAATGCAGCTAAAGACTATGTCATAACCCCAAAATGTTGACTGTATGTTCAAAAGCAGGTTTAATGATACCAAAACCTGCAGAATCACCCAATCAAATTATTTTGAAATTAAAAATATAAATTTACTTCCCAAATGTGAATTAAACATTAAATTGACATTCTGCCAATGTAATAACTAGATATTAAAATGACAAATTAGCTTGAAGAGCATGAGTTCAAATGAATAATTTATCTGTGCAAACACTGCATACTCAAGTCTCTATGAAAGAATTATAATTGCGTTAAACAGCTTTGCTTTAAAAAGGCTGTCTATATAATGAAACTCTGGATCACTGCTCTTTGTGTGAAAGCAGTCAATTATTAATATGCCAGTCATGAATGTGAACTTGACTGATAACTGGGTTTAATGTAATGCTACATAAAGAGTTGGGAAATAGGTCATACAGTAGAGGGGGGAAAGTAAGTTGTGTGCTGGGTCGGGAGCCATATATGGCATCTCAATGTAAGACAATGTTCTTCAAACTGTATGGTTGTGTCGAAAAAAAATAATTCTAATAATGTGAAAGTCAAGTACTTATCATTTTAACCCTCAAACACAGACCTCGGATGGCCATTGAACTTCTATAAGCAATGTATGTTTGTAATCCTACATTGCTTGCATCTTTCACAGCACGCATTTTCAACCTTAAAACTTCACATTTAACATGAAAAATGTGAAGTTTGTAGAAAATGTGCATTGAGTTTCCTACAAAGTCAGTGGGAAATATATAGCAGTCATATATAAAACATTGTTCTGCAATTGAAAGAAGAGAAGAATCATCTCTTTTTAGCATTCACAGCCTCACAGACCTTTTATCCAAAGACTTCAAACCTGGATTGATCTGTCCATTCTCTCCATACCACTTTTTTTCTTCTTTTTTAACCATTTATAAGCGGGCGGTTGAGGACCACTAAAGCATTTGTTTCTCAAAAAACACCTGCTTCTCAAAACCCTTTCAGCTCTGCCACAAGGGTTTTTCAAAAAGGCTTTTCGAATTACCAGTTAGCCTTTTAACATAAAAACTTGCATTTGGTAACAGAATGTGCCACTCAAATACGAGAATGACAGCTGCCAAAAAGGGCCCTGTAACACGTGATGTAACCCATCACTGATTCATAAACTTTAATTGACATAAGATGTTGTCAATTCAAAACTAATACCAAATGACCCTAAAAGTGTATATTTGAGTGTCTATAACTGACCTGAAAAGTTGAGACGACGAATATGCTTCAGCAGATGAGTGCCATTTATGGGGTCCATTTTAGCGCAGAGACCAACCTTGCCCGGGCACAGCTCCTTGTGCATGTTGTGCAAGGCATGAGCCATTGCATAGACGGCATCAATAACAAACTGTACCTTTCCTTCCTGCTCATATTGCGAGTCCTTTCCGATTCGCTCCTGATCTGAAAGACATAGACAGATGCATGTGTGTGGTTTTATAAGTATTAATTGGTTAAAAGAATTCATGAAATAATTCAAATCGTGGTAAGTGATATATGTAATGATCTGCAGTCATTCATTTGGTTTGGTCACCATGTCACGGACAAAGTTGAGTCCAGTATTAGTATCCATGTAGTCAAGCAATCATGTTTGAGACAGAAAAAAGATTTTACAAGTAGATTTAAACGACTCAATCAGGCAAAAAATCTGTAGCTCTATCAGTCACATCATGCAATTAAGAAAACTGTATTCATTTAAAGGCATGAGCGGTTTCCATGAGTGGATCCAGCTTAAAGAATTATCTACTTGTGAGTTTGTCTCTGACACTTGTTTAAAGAAGGCTGATGATAAAGTTGCATATTCAGTGTCTGTTCTAGACAATTAATATGCACAATTATAGCAAAAAAAAAAATCCATCTTGAAACTAATTTATAAAGTAACTTGATGAAGATACTACTGATGTGTGCCAATAGTCAGGAAAACTTATCTTCTCAACACTTGTCTTCTCTGTCATCCCCACTCTGGATGGCAGCTTTTAGATAAGACAATTGTGTTCACGCTACTTGGAATGAGCTAAACCTTTTAAACGAAGGGTGTGGCATCAGTCCAAAAGACAGAAGAAAATGCATTGCTCCTCAGTGAGTCTTATTTTTTATGTACTGAATGGTGTTGCCTCTTGCAATTAGCTAGAAAGTAAATATCTGGATCGCTGCAGAGGACCAAATCAATTCTAATATCTGGAGTGCAAGGTCTTCTCCTCTGGTAAATCTCATCTGTTAAAAATGAAGAGTCTTTCTTATATCTTCTGAAGGAGTAGTAGAGTTCCCTCTGTGTGATTTTCGTGAGCATTATGTTTTGGGCCTGCATTTCTATTCTACAAATTTTAAAAATATGCCTCATGCTATTTTTCATTAGTTGCTTTAAACAGTTCTTCCAATTTGATCAATTTTTTGTATTCCTTACCTTCTTGACTGAGTGTCCAACTCTGAATTCAGTATTTATTGCCTGGTTCAATTTAGAAGACCCAAAGAAGCAGGAAATAGAGACATCCATTCACAGGACAGGGATAATCCCCTTATGGGCTCAATGTAATAACTCGTGATAGGAGTTTATTAATCCTGGCTCAGGTTGTTCCAGAGGTTTTTGTGATTGTTAATTGCTGTGAGGAGGTGGGGTCTAAGGAGATACAACGTGCCAATCCTAACTTCGGCTGTCTGCTCACATGCATGAAGTCTTAAAGCTGTTTTTCTATGTAAATCTCCTGTATGTGCATTAGCCATTATTAAAAGCAGGTGTGTTCAATTAAGATTTACAATAGACTAATTACTAGGGATAAGCTAATGATAGAGCTGCATAGAATTCAATTAGGCTTTGCAAGTTAATAAGCACACAGCAGGGAATGAGCTGCTGATACTCACACAATAATTTCCATACTGTTGGTTGAAAAAAATACTTGATGCTATAGAGCTTCTTAACTTACTTCCATATTTTTCAGTATATTTCAGTAAGTAATTTGGTTAAATTCTAGGTTAATGCATTAGTAAACTAGAGTCTTTTTAAACATGACAAAAAGTAAGTTAAACCAATTTTGCCACAGGACAGAGAGTAACTAAATCAAAACCTAAGCCATGCCAAAACCTGACTCTATTTAAAAGTAGAGTTTACTGTAATGCAGTGAATGATTTTCAAAAACAAAAATGGAGAGACCTGCATTATACTAAACATCTCTTAATCTTTTAAATCAGGCGTTTTCAGTCTCATTGCCACAGACCAAGCACCAAGGATGTAGTCAGTTTTTCTAAACATTTGTGAAAGAATAGGTTGTTTTAAAGAGCTCACTGAATCCGAATGTAGTACTCTATAGGATGCCACAAATACAACAAGTTAAAGTCACAAAATTTCTTAAACATGAAAAATAACATTTTTTTTTATATAAAACATTGGTATTGGTTAAAAATTCCACAGTTGGTGCCTCCCCTTCATATAATTGTTCAAACAAATACGGCTTAATAACAAGAAAGACATTATACTGTCAGAACCGATGTGAACTAATGAACTACAAATGAGCAATATCAATATTAAAAGCCACCTTAACAAACCTCAACAATATACAGGCTAGAACTGTTTTTTGTGACTATGTGGTTATCTGATACTTTTGGACATGCCAATATACAGCTTTCACAAGTAAACTTTTTTCCTAAACATTACCATGCAACAACTATCCTCTTGAGGTGCAAGCTATTTTCGGCAGCTACTTCAATCCGAGAGAGTGCTAGCCTCCAAATCAGCAAAGGTCTCCTTCTGTTAGCCATCTTCCATTTGCTAGATCTCCAGCTCCTCACTGCAGACCAAAGGGGTTTTAAGTCTCAGATTATCTCATGAGCTTTTGAAAATGCATGAATTATTGTTGGAGGTTACGGCTCAGTAATTAAGGGCCACAGGGCCTTGATTGGACAGAGATTGTCACAGTTTGGCCGCCATGCTTATGCCGTGGGGAATCCTGTGAGCCAGAGTGGGTGTGAGAGTGATATTTCTCTCTCAGTCTTGGCAGGCCACCCACACTAACTTTGTATTGTCTCTTCTCCATAAGACAGTTTCCCTTTTTCCTTCTGTCTCTCTTTGTAGCTAACTCCTCATTGGCATTTTGGCACTCTCGCACAACTTTTCCAAGCTGGCGTTTTGCTTTCAGAGAAATCCTTTTAGATTAAGCAAAGCAGAAGCTGAGTGTGGGTGTCTTCCACTGAGGTGAAACACAAGACATTATGTGACAGACAGTGTGGGCACAAAACCTTTGACCTATTTTTCAGCTTACGACCGGCTGCAGGCCATCCAATCCACTGAGGCAATCGGACCATCTTTTAAGTTAATGTGACGCTGCTGACATGTGTCACGCACCTTCATTTCACATTTTCTGTGAATTTTCTTATACGTGATTGTAGAGCTAAAGTCTCAATTCATGTCGGGCTAAAAATATGCTGTTGTGTGTATGTTTTCAGTCAAACAGAAATAGTAATTTAAAGTATATTAAAAAAATATCAAAAATGATAACAAATATGATATCACATTTAAAAAACTGTTATTGGATTAATACTCAAAAAAGAAAACTCAAAAAAAATTGGTTATTGAAGCAAATAATTAAAATGCAACTTCAAGCAAATGTAATTTCAATATTAACACTGATTTTTAAAAAAAAAAATCATTTTACAACTATACTGTATTAATGTTCAATAAACATGTCACAGCTGGTTTTATCACCCACAAAGCCATTGATAAGTCACAACAATGTAATAAACAACAGTGTAACCAACAAATGGTACCTTTTGAGCCCCTCAGAACCAACTGAACAATGTTTAAACCCCACAGCCTTCCTGAATATTGTCTGTGTTTATCCCTTTTTGACCACAGTCTACCCATCTTCTGATGGCTGCTTGCAGTTGGATAATGTTCCATGTCACAAAGCTCATCTCAAACGGGTCTCTTGAACATGACAAAGAATCCATTGTCCTCAAAATGCCTCCAGAGTCTCTAGATCTAATCTAATAGTGAGCTGCATTGGGATGTGGTGAAACAAAGATTTGCTGGATGGTTGTGCAGTTGACAAATCTGGAGCAACTGTGTGATGCTATTATGTCAATATGGACCAGAATCTCAGAGCAATGTTTCCTGTCACCTTGTTGAATATGAAGAATTAGGGCAGTTCTCGAGGCAAACCCAGTCCAGGATTGGGGTTGACCTGGATTAGACTGAAGTGGAGTCCAACTCAGGTGCACCTATTAAAGTGACCAATTAGTGTATATGTAAATAACCTATTTGGTTACATCATATTAGCAAACAGATTTCAAAACCTACCCCAGTCAAATTTCTAACTAATTAAATGTAATTGCTATTTACAGGTTAATAGTTGCATTAGTTGTATCGTCTTTTTCATGTTCTTACGCTTGGAATCAACTCAAGGGTAGGCTTTAAATTTTAAACTATTTAAACTCTCCATCACACCACTGATCAGAGATTTTCTGCTTCCTAAAATAATTTAATCTATTTCCACAATGAATTCAATTACTTTTTACAAAATCCTTTCTGCAATAAAAGGGCAAGCTGTCCAATATATTCCCCATCTCTTACCCAGAGAAGGCTGAAACCCCCCCTAGTCACCCTGGAACGCTGTTTAGGGTGAGCAGTATAAAAATAGATGGTTGGATGTGAGAGCACATGCTCGGTTTATCTGCATTACTTTCTCTGTGCTGTTCCGCTCACATCGTTAATACAGAGGCGAAACACACAGCCAGCGAAATGGGTCCCTGCTCTACCTCCCCTCTCCTCTCAACATTAATCAATATCAGTTTTACATCTCCTTCATTCCCAGATAAAAGACAAGTCTCACTTTTTTTCTTCAGTCACTCATGCCCTCCTTATCCTTTGATCACACTAAGCAGTCTAACCCTCTCAGGACACTGATAATTCTGCAGCATGCCCCATGTGGTTTTTGCACAGCTGCCACAGGGACACTGCAAAGCTCCCCACCAGTGAAGAGGCAGCTCAAGTGTCATACTTTAACCTCAAACAAATTCTGTGAGACTCTCACTCCCTGTGAAGCAGAGCTGATAGGGAAGTTTAATACTAAAATGTCTGTAATGAGCGAGACAAGTGATAGAAGAACAGCTACTTAGTGTGAGATGCAGGTGCCTATACAACACTCACTCCTAGTATAGAGATAAACTTAACGATGTCAATGTGGGTATTTTCAGAGCTATTAATTTAGCTTCTGCAGCAACTGAAGGCTAAAAATATTTCTAGTGCATAATCATTGAGAGTACAAATAATCATTAAAGATCATCATTGGTTTTAATGTTTTATTGGTAGATAACAATCATTATATGTTTGCTTCATTTGCTCTTTTTCCTTGTCTCGTTGTGGCACACTTCCTCATAACAGTTTTTCCCCATTTATAGTTTTGGTTTTATTG